GCAAGGTTTCTGTGCTTTTAAGTTTTCCTTTGAAGCCACCCCCGGGTGTCTGGGTGCTCTCGCCGGGTCTTGGGGCCGTTTTCTGAACCAGGGCAGCCGCCGCCAGCACCTCGTGTCTCCCCAGGGGCCTCCTCCCCCAGACCCCGCAGCGATGTGACCCTGTTTAGATGGCAGGAAGGATAATTTCACCACCCGATGCTTCCCCGGCTGTTAATGTTTCTTGTCAAACTTTTGATCCCGAGGGAAATGAAGGAGTCTGGGCAAAACTGACAGCGCTGCTCCAAATTTGCCAGGGGAAGAAAAAAAAAACCCCTCAGTGCTCAGGTAGAGTGGATAGAGCAGTTTCTCAGCATCTCCTTTGTACTCTTAGCACATCGCACAGAATTCATTCAAGGAAAAATCAGGAGGGGAAAGCCCTTCTCTGCACCAGCTCAGTCCATAGGTGCACCTTTGGTGCCTCTTTGGTGGCTCACGTTTTGCCACGTTTGGTGCCTCTTCTCTCCCTCTGTTTTCCTCCACCTTCTCTTTCCAGAAATGAAGGAGGGAGACTTTTGACCTTCACTTTCTGACTCTGAGTTTCCATCTCCGAGCAGACACAACCTTCTTCATGCCTTACACACGCAGCACAAGGAGCCAGCCCGTGCTGCAGGAGTTTAAACGAATATTTTGTGGTTGTATAAAAGCCAGGGGCTGCGGAGCTCTCGGTGCAGACGCCGCTGGAGGCACCTGGTGAAGGTTCCTGAGGGCGCTCTGGCCAAAAGCAGGGCAGAACTGAGCCGGAAAGATGCTGTTTTCTACTCAAATTATGTCTCCGGCGGGATGTCCCAGTGGCCTCTGGAAATGTTTGGCTTTGAGCAAAGAGCAGGGCTGTCTCCCTGCGAACATCAGAGGAGGCGCTTCCCCGCTCCGGTACCTCCCGCACGGCACCGCCGCCTCCCGGGAGCAAGAGATTTTACTCCTCCTTTCATTTAACTCTCTTCTTCGGGCATCAAAGCCTCTCTTTGTGCTAAGAGCTGCTGCTTTCCGTCTTCTCTTTTTTAGTTGGAGCTTTTTTTTGAAGGTGCAAATTGGAACTTTTTTCCTCCTAGGATTTTTTTCTGCTCCATCGTTATTTCAAAAAAAACCCCAAACCAAACAAACAAAAAAACAAACTCTGAATAAGGTGCTCTTTGAAATATCAGCACAAACACTGGCCTTTGTGCAAAACCCAGGAAAATACCGAGTCAGAAATTGATTTTAAACAAAATAAATAAATCTTCCCCCCCTCTCTGAAGGTAGCAGCAAGCAGGAGACTGACCCACTGATGAAAACTCTTCTGCAACTTCCATTACAGTCAGGATACTTCAGCAGCTGCTGTATCAGGCTCTGCCTTCCAGACCTCAGCCTTTATCCAGTTAATCTCAAACTTAATCATCTTTGTCTCAAAAATACCGCTTTCAACTGAAGCAGCACGGAGAGAGGCACCCAAAAATTGAAGGGTGAGGAAAGGGACTGGCTTTCCTGTGAATCTCTGCTGTTTCTGCAGGACACTTTCTGCCACATGTTTTGTGGCAGGGATGTGCTTTAAGGGAGCCCAAAGGGAGACAAAGTGGCAGGAGGAGAAATCACAGGGCAGTAGCCCTTGGCTGGAGCCCTCCCGGAGCCGGGGGTGCCGGTGGGGGGTGGTCACTGCTCTGAGGGTGGCAGTGGCGGCAGGGACGATGCTCCCAGGTCCTTCTGTCTCATCAGGCAGCTCCCTCCCTCTTTACAGACACAGCGACAGTTGCATCCTGAAACAATTCATCCCAGTATCCAGCACAGGAAGGTTTTAAACACAATAAACCTGGTGGGTTTTCCCCCCCTCGCCATTCCCATCCACTGTGTTTAAAGCGATTCCTTTCTTACCCGCCCTTCCTTTGCAGAAGCACATCCCTGCTCTCTGCCTGTGCAAAGTATTAGTTTCTTTGGAGGAAAAGAAATGATTTTTTCCTCCTGCTGCAAGCACGCTGGCTTGGGGACCTGCTCGGGTTTTATTGCTTGGTTTCCACATGGCCTTGCCCAGCCGCGTGTGGACTCTCTCAGCGCTGTTCAAACACACCAGCAGGTGCGTTTGTTGAAATAAATGCAGGCTTGATATTAAGTGGATTACTGGCCCAGCCGTTCGTCAGCGTAAGAAAAGTGGCCACTGAAGGGGATTAGCATAAAGTGCACAAATAACTTTCACCAAGAGGCTTGTTAATCGCTTCCTAATTCCCCTCTCCCGCTCAATAGGGGAGGTTGGGTTGTGGGGCCAAAATTAAACGGGAGCTGTCAGGCAGCTGAGGGCTGTAAGAGGGACATGTGGGGAGCTCGGCTAACGAAGGGCCATGGTGACATCAGCCAGCGTTTTGTGGCTGAAGAAGGGAAACCATCCTGATGACAGCCCTGTGCCATATGGAAGCTGTTCCCACCGTATTGGCTTTGAGCTTCCTCCGGAGCATGGCCCGAGCCCAGCTGTTTGGCCGAGCAGGGAGATGGACCTGCCACAACAGGAGAAGTTTCCCGGCCAGTGGCCAGTGTTGCTGGAGGAGGAACAGCGATGGTGGAAACCCTCTGCTGCCTCCCTTGGGTTGTTCCTCACCTGTGCGATGCAAAGAAGAACAACTTTGGTGCACGGAGAGGGGTTAGAGCAAATTTAATAATATGGAGCTGGACCTGCCGCCATGGCTCAGGACTGGTGCCAGCACCAGGACAGGCTCCTGGAGCTTTGGTGACCGTCCCTAGAGCATGGGGCTGGCACCCAGACCTGCCCCAGGAGCCCGGCTGGGGTGGCCCTGCCGGCGCAGCTCTAGGGAGAAGGTGCTAGATGTGGCAGCTACAGCTGATGGTGGTGTCCATCCACGCTGGGATTCTTCAGTTCCTTTCTCTTGTGCTGGTCCCACCTCAGAGGGCTGGGCTCAGAGAAGGGGTTGCAGGTTCCTTGGGGAGGCTCCTGCCTTGAGTCAGGATTCGGGGTAAGGGTTACATTAGGGCAGGGTGAATTAAAAACATAATAATTAGATATATGTAAGATGTCCCTGCATGCTGCTGAGCGAGGGCAGGGATGCAGGCAGGCTGGGCACAGCGGTCCTTGGGTTGCTCGGGGACTGGCCCTTGTGGTCCTCTGGCTTTGAGCAGAGACATCGCAGGGTCACTCCTCCACCCTCCTTCTCCATGGAGTGGGGGGGTTAATTCCACCGTCGTCCGTCCATGGGCCGGGGGGAGCAGCAGGTCTGATCTTCAGACACAGCCCAGCCAGGCGTCCTGCTCTGGGTCTAGGCGTGGATCTTGGCAGAGCAAACTCCAGCACAGACACGTCTGGGCACTAAAAGCCTGACCCCTCGTCTTCTCTGTGATGTCCTTCTCCTGTTGACTCTTGCACTTATTGAAAAGGATCCGGGGAAATAACTGGTAGCACCTGCAGGTGGTTTGTGCTCGCTCAGAGAAACAGCACCGCTAATAACTCCAGGGAGGGAGCATCACGCTCAACTTCCAGTGCAAGAGAATGGAAAAGGGTTCAACTCTGCCATGAATTTGTGTGTCTGCCCAACAGAGACATCTTGCAGAGACTGCGGTGGCAGTCGGTGTGGGGTGTCCTGCAGTAATTGTGGGCTGCAGCGAAGGAGCGTCCAAGGCTTAGGGGTGACTTGGGTATTGATGGGGAAAGAAGGTCCTAACACACACTTCAGGCTGGATGACACTCCAGAGGGCTGTGCCACCATCCAGCGTGACCTGGACAAGCTGGAGAGCTGGGCAGAGAAGAACCTCATGAGGTTCAACAAGGGCAAATGTAGGGTCCTGCACCTGGGGAGGAAGAACCCCAGGCACCAATATAGGTTAGGGGTGGAGAAAGTACTACTGAGGAGAAGGATCTGGGAGTCCTGGTGGATAGCAAGCTTTCCATGAGCCAGCAATGTGCCCTTGTGGGCAAGAGGCCAATGGGATCCTGGGCTGCGTAGGGCAGAGTGTGGCCAGGAGGTGGAGGGAGGTCATTGTCCCCCTCTGCTCTGCACTGGGGAGGCCACAACTGGAATCCTGCGTCCAGGTCTGGGCTCCCCAGTTCAAGAGAGACAGGGAACTGCTGGAGAGAGTCCAGTGTAGGGCAACAGAGATGATGGAGGGGTTGGAACATCTCCCTGATGAGGAAAGGCTGGGAGAGCTGGTAGGCAATGGGCACAAGCTGGAACATGGGAAGTTCCACTCCAATCTGAGGAAGAACTTGTTTGGGGTGAGGGTGGCAGAGCCCTGGCAGAGGCTGCCCAGGGAGGGTGTGGAGTCCCCTTCTCTGGAGATCTTCAAGTCCCACCTGGATGCTCCTGAGTGATGTGCTCTGGGCAGCCCTGCTTTGGCAGGGAGTTGGACTGGATGGTCTCTAGAGGTCCCTTCCAACTCTGACAATTCTGTGATTCCGTGGTTCCATGAACACATCCCCCCTTTTGGTGGGTGTAAGGCCCCTCTCCCTTCCTCGTGCAGCTCCTGCTCTGTATCGTCTCACCACGGTGAAGCTTTTCTTTGTGGGGGAGGGACTTGCACATGGAGAAAAAGAGCTGTCTGTGATTTCCTGGAGTCCAACACAAACACGCAGCGAGCTCTGCGTATCATGGTCCATTAACCCCTCACACCCACATCGTGCACAGGGCAGTGATCAAAGTCAGGAAGAATAATTTGATTTGAAAAGGAAAACAATAGATCCATTTTGGTGCAAAGGAATGGATTTCAATTCTGGAGACCAGGGTTTGAAGAACAAGGTTCAGCAAGTTTTAGGTTAACAAAAGAAAGGAAACCCAAAGTGCTTCCGAGAAGCTGAAGTAGTTGAAAAGCTTCAGGCAAGGATGGGTGGTTCCTGGTCTGGACATGGGAAATAACTCTGCTGAGCTTGTTGTGAGCTCGGTGCTGGTGTTGGAGGTGGAAATTGCTGTTGTGTGGTAGTTCTGTAATTCTTGGATTGAACCTTTAATTGTCCTCTTTATTAATTCCTTTTTTCTTTCTTCTTTTTCCTTCAGCATGAAAGACTTTCCAGGTAAGAATTCTATTTTTTACAGTTTTTTTCTATTTATTATTAATTGACAGCCTATTATTCTATGGCTTTGGAGATTCCCTGTACTTCAAATCATGGGCACAAGCTGAGGCTGGTACTGGCTGTTTGGTTCTCACCTCAGGGCAGCTGCTGGGCCAGTGCTTTCACGCTTTGCTCCCAGAATTATTGAACAGCTTCTCAGCAGAGAGGAACAGCCCTCCGTGCCCTGTGAGAAATGGAGCCTGCTCCCACCACGAAGATGAGAGCTCTTTAGGGTGTTACTGCCTGTTTGGGGGTTGGGGCTGATACCCACTGGAGTTTTTTCCAGTTTCAAAGCGGTGGTGGCTCTGGTGTCACAGCGATGCCCAGCTGGGGGGTGGGGAGGGCTCTCAGCATCCCAGCCATGCCATCCTGTCCTCACCGGTCGGGCTAATACTGGCCGTCCCAAAGCAACACCAGCTCCACCGTGATGGGTCTTCCTTGTGGTTTAGGTTGGAAGCAGCGACGAACCCCACCAGCAGTGAGTCCTCCTACGGTGATCGTGCCTCCAGCCGCTCCAGTGCCTACACCCGCAGAGAGAACCGGTTAGCCGCCCTCAGCAGCAGGGCAGAAGAGGAGAGTAACAGGGACTATAAAAAAGTAGGCTTTTTTCAATGTATTAATGTCACTGTGTGCGCCTTCGATGCCGCCTGCTGCTGCAGAAACCTGCACTGAGGGTCCTGAGAAAGAAAAAAAGCTTATTTTCATTTTCTCTTCCATTGCGTTGGGAAGTGTTATGGTTTGAGAAAACCCATAACAATCTATTGTCATTTAGACACTTATTTTATCACCCGATGACCCCTCCCCACCCGGAAAGGGGAATCGGGGAACACAAAGAAACACAAAGGGTTGAAATATAAATAAATGTAATAGACTAAGACTAAATAATTAACAATAATACTAAAGAACCAGTATTAATCCCGATACTGATATAAGATATACAAGAATTCTACTCAGCCAATTCTGTCAGGGGGAAGATGTGCACTCCCAGCAGGGACAGCAAATGGCGGACACTGCCAGCGCAATGGCCTCAGGAGGAAGGGAAGGCCTCAGGGCTCCGGCACCGGGGCAAGGAGTTGCCTGGACCCGCTGCCATCAAGGGAGAGAGAGCTACGCAGCAAACCTTCTAATTTATGTTGAATGTGACGTTCATGTTATGAAATAATCCTGTTGGCAGCCTGGGTCAAATGCCCAGGCCTTGCTCCTCCTTGTCCCTGCGCCTGGCAAGGATCGAAAGCACTACCCTTGAATCCCACAGAGCCTGGCTGGCTATAAAGTAAATATTTGCACAAATTCAGACACTGGAGTCTTCTAAAAGTGCAATTTTCCCCAGCATTAGAAGAAAAGTTAGTCTGGTGTCTCTCAACCCGGGACAGGAAGGCACACCAGCCTTTTTCCAATGCCTCAGCCCTTCAGAGGGTGGGAAAAGGACAGGGAATGAAAGGACGCGATGCAAAGTGAGATACCTGTGGGAAGGGGGGTGAGGAGTCAGGGTAGAGAAATGCTGGGGGGATCTGAAAGGAGCACGAGAAGGCACTGTGAGAGTGCCGGTGTGGCTTGAGCCCCACAGAATTATTTTTGCTATAATCTCTGAAACTTTCCACACAACGCTTGAAAGGCAGGGCTATGGACTGCCACGAACACCTACTGTTGAGGCAAAGACCATAGGGAGGAGTGTGGCCAGGAGGTGGAGGGAGGTCATTCTCCCCCTCTGCTCGGCACTGGGGAGGCCACAACTGGAATCCTGCGTCCAGGTCTGGGCTCCCCAGTTCAAGAGAGACAGGGAACTGCTGGAGAGAGTCCAGCGTAGGGCAACAGAGATGATGGAGGGGTTGGAGCATCTCCCTGATGAGGAAAGGCTGAGAGAGCTGGGGCTCTTTAGCCTGGAGAAGAGAAGGCTGAGGGGAGACCTTATTAATGCTGACAAGGATCTAAAGGGCAATTTGAGGGAGGATGGAGCCGGACTCTTTCCAGTGGTTCCCAGTGACAGGACGAGGGGCAACGGGCACAAGCTGGACCATGGGAAGTTCCACTCCAATGTGAGGAAGGACTTGTTTGGGGTGAGGGTGGCAGAGCCCTGGCAGAGGCTGCCCAGGGAGGGCGTGGAGTCCCCTTCTCTGGAGATCTTCAAGCCCCACCTGGATGCTCCTGAGTGATGTGCTCTGGGCAACCCTGCTTTGGCAGGGAGTTGGACTGGATGGTCTCTAGAGGTCCCTTCCCACTCTGACAATTCCATGATTCCTGAAAAGTAAAGAGGTGAAGATGACCTTAGTTCTGCCAAGGCTGATGCTGAGAACCCTGGCACGGTGAGCAGCACCCACTCGTGCAGGTGCCTGGCCGGACGAGGTGGTCGGTGTGCCCAGCCTATCCTCTGAGAGGGGTGGAAATCCTGCTTGTTTGAGGGAAGTGAAGGGGGAAAAAATCCATTTTGGAGTAGCCTAAAATTGTCCTCCTTTCTCCTCTCCAAACTAAACGCACACAAGAACAAACAGGGTGCGTTGTGTTGGGGAGCGGAGCAGAATCGCAGGCAGAGCACACACAACTTAGTGCTTCATTATGCTCGGTGGTTTACCTAAATTAAAAACATCCCTTTTCTCTGCCTCTTGGCTGTGTTCAAACACCCTACAAAATGAAACAGCTGTTTCCCTATTCCTCATGAATTACGAAAAGGCAAGTAAAGCATCCAAACTAGTTGTGTTTGCCCTTCTTCTAACATCCTGAGCCCTGGGAGCGACTCAGACCCCGCGGCTGCCTCTGCTCGCGGCCGAGGCCACACGTCTGGGGCAGAATGGGGTCTGCGGGGGGACCCAGGAGCCCCCCCGGTTCACTGGAATCTCTTGTTTGCTATTTCAGTTATATGAAAGTGCCCTGTCTGAAAATCAAAAGCTGAAGTCAAAACTGCAGGAAGCCCAGCTGGAGTTGGCCGACATCAAATCAAAGCTGGAAAAAGCAGCCCAGGTGAGGCAAAAACCCGCTCCTGGACTGGGGAAACTGAGCTCCGGCCCATGACAAACCAGTGCCTGTTCCAGCAGGGAGAAGGATTTAGCTTTGGGGAGGGAAGGTGCTACAGAGGAGACAGTTGTTTTTCACAGAAATAAGTGTGGGTGGTGCTGTGAAGACAGCTGCTTCTCCGGGCTGTGATGTGTAGGGTATCTAGGCCTTTGTGCAGTGCCCTGTGAATGCCTCTCAGTTTTAATAGCTTTCTATTTTTAATTTACACAGCAGAAACAGGAGAAAACTTCTGACCGGTCCAGCATGCTGGAGATGGAGAAAAGGGTATGTGTCTCTGCTTTCTTCTGAGCCACAGTCTTTGCCTTGTGTTCCTCTGCAGCGCATAGTACTTTCTTGAAGGAAAGTGTTAATTAAAAGATAAGTTACATTTTTGCCATATGGAGCAGTGCAGAGCGATAATTGTGTTCTGACCTTTCCACTGCCTCTTTGCAGATCATCTTCGTTCTGGTTTCTTTCTTTTGTTACAGGAAGCTGCAAACCAACAAATTGTATTGTATTGCGTTAAGAGACATTACGCCTTAAAATAATCTTGATCCTTTTAAATAAAGACTGTTTTGGGGTGGGGGGGGAACAAGGCAAAGCACTAGCTGGGTGTCATTGTTGTGATTACACTTGAAATCTGAATGTTGGAATGCTCCTTCCTCTTAATTGAACAGTCAGATTCATGCAAAAGCTGAGCAGAGCCGGCAGGGTCTGGCTAAATCTCTGCCTTAAGTGACCGTAGCTTTGGTCAGATGGGAGAGGACCCGAGGAGAGCTGTAGTGCATCCCAGGAGACCCAACCAGGTTAGTCAGGGCTTTGTCCCATCAAGTCATGAAGACGTCAAAATGTTGGGTTCCCACAGCTGCAGCCCATTCTTCTAGTTCTTTACTGTCTTTGTAGTGATTTTTCTTTTTTCCTTATTTCTGCTCAGAACCTCCCCTGCTCCAGCTGGTGGCCGTTACCACTCATTCTCCCACCACATAACCACCAGTGGTTAATTAAAGCTGGAGTCTGGTTCCCGTTTCTCAGTAATGTCCACTTGCGTGTTGAAGGGTCACCTGAAGTGGAAGTTCCTTCTAGACCATTTCATCTCCAGAATTTTTAGAAGCTTTGCTGGGTGGTCAAGCCACATGTTTAGATTCAATTCCTACAATGAAATACCTTAATTATGTATGTGTAAACACTTCCCAGGATTTGCCGCTGGTGGTTTGCAGGAGATGACGTTCAGGATCCCTCCTTCGGACAGAGTTAGGGTACAAGTGTGTAACACACCCACCAGCACAGGCACCGGGCTTTGGCTGCTGAAGTTGCTGAGGTGGCTGGAGCTGAGCTGATGCTCAAGCCATGCCAGGAACCCTCAGCTGGCCATCTCCACACCCCTCTGAACCCCGAGATTCTCAAAGCGATGGTCCATGTGAGGCCTAGGTGTGCTTAAAGCAGGCTGAGCGGGGTCACCAAACATGCGGCCATCACTGTCATCTGAGCACAGCTGCTGGGGAAGTCAGGACACAGATTTTCTTTTGGAAAAGAAAGAGAGCATGGGTGGCCAGAGCACTGGGTGGACATCCCCAGCCAGGGGCAGCTCACACCACGTGTCCCATCTCCCACCCGTGCGGTGCTTCCAAGCTGGAGCAATGCTCTGCATCGCTTTTGTTGAATTAGGATCACAACAGCCACAAATGCAGGTTTCTGAGAGTTAGGAAAAAGTCCTGGGCTGTTCTCAGTGAGGATGGCATTAAAGGTTTCCAGGACAGCTGGACTGATAGATCCCTGCATGAAGTGTGGACAATAAGTGGCCCAGAACCCATCATCCACAGCCACACTCAAAGCCTGTATTTTCCTCACTCTCCTGGCCTTGTGTTTCTTTGCAGAGGGTCAGGGAGTGGGGAAGAGCGTGCAAAGCCTGTTCCTTACCCACCTGTGTAATTTCCTCCTGCTCAGTTCACTCTCCTGGGGTGGTTTGAGCCCTCTCATGGTGAAAAAGTCATTGATGGCCTCCAGGTCTCTCCCTCCAGGCCAGGGCTGTAGCTGTCGGCTGAGGGCACCACCAGGACTCACGGGGCAGAGCTGAGCTGTGTAATGGCTGGTTTCCAAAATATGCTGAAAGCAATCAGCATTACAGCTTCGAAGCCCTAAATTAACTGGGGAGAAGCAGAACTTCCAGGCACCTTTCCCTGTTCACTCTTTCTTATTTGATGGGCTCAGTGAGTCTTCCTGTTGCCTCCTTTACTGGGGAGCAGTTAAATCCATGGCTTCACCTGCAGAGCTCAAAATCACATTAATTCAGAAATTCCTGAAAGCTGGGACCACTGAAGGAGGGGGAATGTTTCACTGAAGGGGTGTGAGGAGAGCTCAGGGCCGTGCCAGCTGCTGGCTCAACAGCTGTCCTGTCCCATCTGATCAGCTCCTGGTTGTAGCCTGGGTGTTCTTTTGAGATGCTTTTCAGTGCACACTCCTACAGAAATACAAGACTCTTGGTTTTCTTTAAAAGAAAATGTACTGTAAGTTTTTCTTCTAAATCCTTGTGACCATCTTTGTTATGAATCCTTGTCTGCAGGAGAAGCGAGCCCTGGAGCGGAAACTCTCTGAAATGGAAGAGGAGATGAAGGTAGGAAATAATCAATTCACTCTCTCTGTTCCTTTTTTTTATGCTTTATATTAACGTCTTTTTGGGATTGCCACCCAGGAGTAGGATATTAAAGGTGTGCGCAGGAGGGACTTGTGTGATGTCTGAGCGTGTTCCTCTGTGCAGTCAGAATTTACTTTAATGGCCACGTTCTCCAAACATGAAATACTAATAAAACTGTCCAATTATCGTTCATCTGATTGCACCGTATGTTTAATTTGTTATGCCATTTGATCTGAGAACTGCGAAAGCCGTTCTCCTTAAATGCTTTCCAAAACTAACCTTTTGTGGCATCAATGAGTTTCAGTGTGCTGATCCTCTGTGCTCTGAATAGTCTGCAGCCCGAGCTAAGCCGCTGTCGTTCTCTTCGGATGGGTAAGAAGACAAAGCTGGCTTTTGAGATCACGCACACGAGCCCAGGACAAAACACAGCGCGATTGTATTTCTGTACTCCCCTCCTAAAGCATGGCACTGAAGGCTGGGTCAGCCTGGAATAGATTTTTGGCCGAGAGGAATTTTGCTTCCTGACGAGCTGTGCCGCATGGCTCTGTCACCAGGCACGGCACCGACTGCGCCCTCAGGGCCTTGCTTCCAAGGATGGTTCTCCTCCGGCCACGGCTTGGATGCCCGGCGAGCGCGGGGCTGGCGGGGAGCACCGCGGAGCAGGGAGCGGAGGGTTTGGCCGCCTGAGTACACCTTCACACTGATTTTGCAGCGTTCCATCATTTTACGCTCTGTTTTAATGCTCGTGTTCACAGAATGCCCCCCCTTTGCTCTGTGCCCCACACTTTCCTTCCCTTTGAGCATGACCCAGGTGGGACCGAGCTGCTGCGAGAAGGAAGGACCCCGCTTGAGAGCTGGGAGCACGGATGGAAATGATTTTCTGCCCACCCTGGAGGAGGTTCCAACTTTATGTTTCTATTTGAAGCTTCACATATTTACCAGGCAGACATCTTTGGAAGGCCCCGTTGGCTCATGCTGCATCTTCTACTGCAATAAGTAGCAGAAGGATTTGGTGGAGTCGTGCTGTAAAGGCTCTCCTGTTCTCGCGCAGAGGAGAACATAAGCGTGGATGTGTTAGGCCAGAGGGGGAAGGAGAAGTATGCCTAAATTCCAAGTTCTTTGTTCAGTGAACAGGAGCCTTTAGCTCCAGAGGCACCTTCCTGTAATTACAGTAATCTGGCCTTCAAGAGAAAATGCAGAGAGGAGCAGTTTGTGTTGTTTGTTCCACTCTCCAGCTCACTCTGCAAACCAGCTCAGGCTGTGGAGTGAGAAGACAAATTGGTGTCTTCTAGCGGCCTGTCAGTTTTGAAACTTTTCTGTTGGTTTGGAAAGCAATGAATGAAAAGAAGATGGCTGTAGGAACTGTTGGGTGCCCCCAGAGCCCCTCTGGTTCGGGTGTTCTGGAGCTGCAGACGGATGGAAGCCAAAATGGTGCAAAAGGAGGAGCTCTGCTGGAAGTTTGAGAGGTTCTCTCCCCAAGAGACGTGAGCGAAAGGAGCCTGTGGTCTGACTGAGGTTCTCCAGAGTGGTACTCACCCTTTGCTCTCTGCTGCGTTCTTGCTGCGTTGAACAACCAAAGTGGCCTTTTGTTAGTAGAACAAATAGACGGGAAATTTGAAAATAATTTCCGAGATGCCACTACGTTTCCAGTAGTTTTTGCAAAAACTGGAGCATGTGGTGGGTACCTGAGCGCAGTGACATGTCTTTTTTGACAGCCACTCAATAAAAAGGAGTATAAAATCTCTGAAGATAAAACTGTTGAACTGGAGAAGCACTCTCCATGTCTGCTGTGATCGTGCCTTCAAGTGGGACAGTCAGTCCAGTTGTGTTTGCCTAAATGAGATGGGATCACCTCGGGGAGCATCTGAGTTAATCCCTGGTGTGAAAGTCGAGCCAGGAAAGCAAATCTAGTCATTCTGGTTAGACTCTGGTTCCTGCTTCTCGCACTGGTCAAATAGCTGTTGAGCGGAGTCACAAGGAATAAACAACTTAAGCAAATACACCGGTTTCCTTTAGCGTGGAGAGCAGCAAGGGGAAACAGCCAAACCTGCCAGGTTGTTAGGTCTTGGGTAATAACTCCTGTTTTTTGGGGGTTTCTCACTGGGCTTTGAGCGGAACCAGTCCAGCGTGGCTCGTGTCCAGCTTTTGATCCTGGGGTGTCTGTGTCCATCAGCTGTCTTGGCCAGGGATCTCTCTGCTCTTCTTGCAGCTGATTCCTTAGGAGGAGAAGGCACTGCAGTCATCACAGGAAGGTCCTGAGTTTCTGTCACACAAACACTTCATAATCAGGCTATGAGGGAACGAGCTGTGTTCTTTCGTGAGTTTAAGCCCTGCTAACGAAGCGATCAAGAAATGGAGAGGAGCGGGACAAACTCGGTACTCTCAAGAACTGCTTGGTGCCTGCAGACCTGCTCTTGTGAAGGGGACAAAGCAGAGCAGCATTTTCCTGAGTGCCTGCAGAATTTGACTGGTGATACAGCAACTTGGCTGAGGAAGGAGAAAGAAAATTAGCATTTGCGCTGAACTGAATTCGATGCCAAGTGCCTGAGGTCCCAACTTAACACAGCAATTTTTCTTGAAGGTCACAGAAGCTTCTTTATTCCATAGCAGCACTGCCCCTCCTGGCTTTGTACTTTGTGCATGCTTTGGGCATTTTTATTTCCCTGAGTGTTGCAGGCACAAAATCCTTTAATTGAAGGCAGGTAGAGCTGAACTGAGAAACCTGCTTTTGGTGAGCCAAGTCTCCAGCAGAGTGATAAGCAATCACAGCGGGATCGTCCAGATTCTGGTCTTTGCCCTTGGCTTCAGTCCCAGCTTCCTGGGCAGCGCAAGGTTTCTTGGATAAATAGAAGGCTCCTACCTGCAGCACACACACATTTTACCCAAGTGATCTTTTTTTATCAGCTGTGGCAGCGTGCTGAGGCTGAGCTGTGTCTTATTGTGCCAAGCTGAGGTTTCGTGCTACATTGGTATGGAAAAACAAAGGTGGTCTCTAAAGCGATCACAATCCTTTCCATCTCGTGTAGCACGACACCCCTGATCACATATGTTTGACATTTTCTGCCAGCCAGATGCTCAGCTGTGTTTCCTGTGATAAACCAGAGGATGTTTATTATCCCTGGTACCACCAAAAGAAATGACTCCTCCAGTATGAACCATCCTCTGGGGGCTCCTGGGTGTGATTTATGGCAGGACCAGAGGTGTGATGTCCGTCTGTCCTCACCGAGCGCAGGGGGAGCTGGCACAGGCAGGACAGATTGCGTGATGGGTGAGATCTGGTGAGAGGGGACCTCACTGCCAAGATGTCTCTGGAGCTCTCTCTCTGGTGGTTTGTTGGCCATAGCTCTGTCTCAGGACCTGATGACTTACCTGGTGTCAGACTTGCGTTGGTGTAATCCAAGTAGCATCAGTTTGATGCCCTCGGGGAGCTCAGACCCCATCCTTTGCCATCTCCCTGCACTCACCTGCCTGGGCTTCTGCTGGTTTTGCAAGGCTTTTGGGCAAGGTGTCTTCATTCCTTAACAGGGAGCAGAGGTTGTGCTTTTGAGTAGCCAGAACCAAGCTGCTGGATGGGAAATACACAAATACTTCTCTTTTATACAGGAATGAGCCCTCGGACAAAATGTCCTGGGGTGCAGCACGTTCCTTGCCAACTGTAGCCGGGTCCATGTCAAGCAGTTGGGTAGATGTTCACGCAAGTTCTTCGTATAAGTAGATCTGCCTGTGCAGCCCCTGATGCTGGACAGTGACTTCCCTCAGAGCACTTTCTGCTGAATAAATGGCAGAAAAGCATCCCCTTCCCTCCATCTCCTCCCTGCCCTTGCAAGCTCGTGAGTAGGAGGACACGGGGAAGAGCAGGTTGGTTAGCAGGCGGGACAGAAGCTGCTTTGGTTCTGGGCTGGAATTTTTTCATTTGAACTTAAAACTACTCTTCTCATGGCTTTTTCCCTCCCCTGCCCAGTGTCTGTGCTCCCTACACCACGGAGGAGGGTTCCCTGTGGCTGCGCTGCCCGAGGAGCTGTTGGGAGGCAGGAGGGACAGGAGGATGCTCAGAAAGCAGCTCTGCAGCCCTCAGCAGCTCCTGGCACTCGTGCTGGGTAGAAACACCCAGTGTATGGTTTTGCTGTAGCATCACCCAGAAAAATGTTGTCCTTGTACAAGAAATGGTGGTGTCTGCATGGCTTTTACTGTTTCCCTGTTTTGCCTTCCTCGTTGCTTTTATGTTCTGTACCTCCAAGTTGCCACTCTACCTGTGCTTGCCCCAGCTGGGGGGCTCCATGTCTGCACCCTCCTTTGCCCACTTTTTGTAACCAAGAAAACCACGTTTTCACGTGCCTCCTGTGTCAGATGCTGTCACTCCAACTCCTCCAGTTTAAGTCAGCGGTTTAAGGTTCTGACTTTTCACCTCTGGAGATCAGAGAGAAATTGAGCCCTGAGACAGAGAAGAGATAAATCTGGGCAGCCCCCACATGCCCCAGACCTTTTGGGCAGGACCGAAGCGAGGGATGGACAGGGTAGGTGTCTTGTGGGCTGCTGGGGGACAGTGACACTCCCGGGTGCTTCAGTCTGTGCCTTTAAAATCTCACATGAAGCTCTGGTCACTGTCTGCTACACAAAACCACTTTAACTGTTAGAGATACACGAAGAAAAGGAGTTTTAAAGAAATTCTCAGTTGCCAGCAGTGTTTTCAAAGCCTGCGTAGGTGGTAAGTCAGTGGTGGTAGTTCTCTCAGTAGTTCCTGAGTCCCGGGGGCTGTGAGCCACTCACTGTCTGGGTAAACTAGAATCGAACTGCGAGAGGCTGTCCTGCTTTGTGGTGGGAAACCCCTTTATTTGACCTTTTTAAAGGCTTTGGGGTGCCTGGAAAAAGGGATGGTTCCCGAAACATCCCCAGCGTGTTTAAGGCTTTCTCCAAACGCATCTGAGCTGCTGCCCACCCAGCACTCACTGCTACTAATTTTTCTTTTATTCTCTTTTTTCCTTTTACTGCTTATGGACTAAATTCACATTTCTGTGCCCTTTTGTCTTCGTGGTGTGTTTTCTCTGTATTTTTCTGTCCACTCCTCTCACTCTCTGCAGAATCTCCACCAGCTCAAACAGATTCACACTCTGAGGCAGATGAATGAGCAGCTGCTGGCTGAAAACAGGGCTCTGACCCGGGTCGTAGCCAGACTTTCTCTGCCTGCCAAGCCCTCCGAATCAGAGGAGCTGTAGCTGTTTTCCCTCCGGCTCATCTCGCCTCCCTCTTCCACTCTTCCAGGCAGGTCTCCGCTCCCTTGGCCGGGCTGTCCCCCGCCTTGCCTCCCTGCTCCCGGGGGTGTCTGATGCAGCTTGTGGCTCAAAAGCAGCATGTGGCACAGGAAAAGCCAAAAGCATGGTGTTCCCACCCAGCTGAAGGCAGGATTTCGCGGGAGGCTCTGAGGGGTCCTGCTGACGTTGCTCTGCTTTGGCGGATGGCGCTGGCCTCGCCGTTTCACTAACAACTGCACCAGGGGCTTGCGTGTCCTCACGGATGGGGTCCACATCTCCCATCATCCAGGAGAGGACAACCAGGAGGATGGGCTCCGTAGGGTTGGGTGGATGGCACTGGGATGCTGCTGAGGAGAGATGGATGGATCAGCTGCTTCCCTGTGGCTTAACACCAGCTTTGGGGCAGCTGGTCAGTGCCAGTGGGTCCGGCCAGCAGCCCCCTCCCCGTTACCTTACCTCGAAATAGGTGGTTTATGCTAGGTGTCTGCTCATAATATAATTCTTTTTCAATTGGACTTAGTTCCATGAGAAGCTGGCACCCAGGAATAGGATTGTCCAAAGTCAGAATGAACAATGGAATAGATTTCTAGGGATGCTGTGAAAAGTGCACCCTTTAGACAGGAGGGTGACTTCCAGAAAACCCGTAACTGGGCAGGCCCCGGCAGGTTCCCTTGGACACTTGAGCAAAGAGAACGAGCTCCTTCCCTCATTTTAAAGAACCCAGGTTCAGTTGTGGAGCCCAAGTTCCCCCGCTGCAGCGTCCCCTCTGCCTGGGGGGAGGACAAGGCGCAGGGGCCGGCCAGATGCACTTGTCTTTTTCATCTTCTGTTTTAAATTCAACGCAGAGCAATTAGTGTTTGAAATCCAAGGACAAGCCTCCCGTAAGCTTTGCCCTCGCACATCACACAGTTAAATTACATCATTTCTTGTTAATTCATTGGTTCAGTGCTAAAATAAAGCTGTAAATGCTTCTTTCTTAGGGCCCTACCTGTCTTTTGCAGGTTAGTAGGGATATTCAAGTCCCTTCAGACAGTGCTATTTTTTAAAAAAAGGAAGCAGCAGTATGCTCTCCTGGGCTGGAAGTAGCACCAAGGCATAAAAAAAAGTCTATTCTTAGCACACAAATTATATCAAGGATGATTAAGCGTAGAAACAAACTAAGCAGGGGAATTGTGGCTTCCCCTTTCCGGGATTCTCAGCTCTAGACCCCGTGTGTGTCACAGGGGGTGGTTCGTGTTGTGTGGCCTGGATTGTGCAGATGGACAGACTAAATGAGCTCACCAGCCTCCTGGTTTAAATCTGCTAAAGTATTCTCCACCCTGTCACCGACTTCTCACAAGGGCTGAGTTTAAGTCATTCTCCTTCCCGACCTCCTTAGACATCGAAGAGGGAAAATTGAGCAAAACTGTTTCCAGAGAAATAGCTTTCCTCAGAGAAATGATGTTTCCCAAACTGTAAGTCACCGGTCTCTCGTCTGCCCCAAGGAAATACTGCTGTTACTGCTTACCTCCTGCTGCCCCCGCTCTGCTCTGACATTCCAGGCTCTGGGCAGACCCGTCCATCCCGGCATGTCCGTGCTTTGCGCTCCGTGCTGGTGGTGGGGCTGGGGCAGCCGCGTGTCCGGGGCTCTGCTGGGGCTCTCTCAGCTCCCTCGGTTGCTCTGACGCGGGATGTTGCTGGTACCTGGAAACCTTGTCTCGCCGGTGCCTGTAGGCACCACGGCTGTACAGCAGTGTCACTGTGACAAATTCTGACAGATTTACCACGCTCTTGCAGCAGTGCTGCTTCTCAAAGGATCTCATTTTCCAAAATCCACATCATTTCTGAAGTGCCACCTTCTCCAGTGTCACAAGGAACCAGCCTCTAGCCCAAACCTGGCCTTACACCGATGCCGCGGCCTGGTCAGCGTCACCGTCCCTCGTGGCTCGGCCACATCCCTCCTTACCCTTCCCGGTCAGACACTGAGAATGCCTCCATTTTCAGGCCCCTGCATTTCCAGGCTGCTTCACGTGCGGCTGTTTTTACCTGGCTCGAGGCTGCTTTGCTTTGAATTGGCCTGGGGGGAATGAAATTTCCTAAGGTTGATTGTTACTTTTCAGGGAGCTTTGCTGGAAACTGGTGCAGTGGGGTTACAGCCAGGAGACTTTTCAAGCTTTCCATGTACTTCTTCCGTTTCCAATAAATCACCAAAGTTGCCCATGTGTAAGGCACAGCCACCATCAGAGCTTCCAGGAAGCTGTAAAACCAGGCTGGTTCCTCTCTGATGTGGCTTCTGGGAACCTGTGACACATTATCTCTACCAAAGCAAGTGGCAGAACTTCCTATCACCACCTTATTGCAGGGATGGACACACTCAGGACTGCAAGGCCACCCCGAGCGGTGACACAGAGGGGACAGGGACTGTCTCAGACCCAGTAGGTGGCTGACCTGTTGTGGTGTGCTGGGCTGGACGGCACCAGGCCAATGGGATCCTGGGCTGCGTAGAAAAGAATGGGGCAAGTAGGTGGAGGGAGGTCATTTTCCCCCTCTGCTCTGCACTGGGAGGCCACAACTGGAATCCTGCGTCCAGGTCTGGGCTCCCCAGTTCCAGAGAGACAGGGAACTGCTGGAGAGAGTCCAGCGAAGGGCAACAGAGATGACGGAAGGGTTGGAACATCTCCCTGATGAGGAAAGGCTGAGAGAGCTGGGGCTCTTTAGCCTGGAGAAGAGAAGGCTGAGGGGAGACCTTATTCATGCTGACAAGGATCTAAAGGTGGGTTGAAGGAGGATGGAGCTGGACTCTTTTCAGTGGTTCCCAGTGACAGGACGAGGGGCAACGGGCACAAGCTGGACCATGGGAAGTTCCACTCCAATGTGAGGAAGGACTTGTTTGGGGTGAGGGTGGCAGAGCCCTGGCAGAGGCTGCCCAGGGAGGGTGTGGAGTCCCCTTCTCTGGAGATCTTCAAGCCCCACCTGGATGCTCCTGAGTGATGTGCTCTGGGCAGCCCTGCTTTGGCAGGGAGTTGGACTGGATGGTCTCTAGAGGTCCCTTCCAACTGATAATTCCGTGATTCCGTATTGAGAGTGTCAGATCGAGCTCAGGAGGAATCGGAGGAGTGCGGAGAGAGACAGCAAGTGCTCACCCCTTTTCTCTGGGCTCCTGAGCACTTTGGTGATGGGCAATGGCCATGAGAAATTGCATAAGGAGTCTGACGGTTGTTCTGGTGACAGCCCTGTCGTGGAGATGTTCCTGTTGCACCACCACGGGGTCCAGTGAGACACTTTCAAGCATCATGAGCCAAAGCTTGACACTTTGAAGCATCACATAGTTTTACCCTTTCCCTACCTGCCATGCTGCTCTTTTCCTCCTCCTCTCTCTTGCAAAACCTGGAGCATCCCCACCAGCATCAGCAGGGACAGGGCTGGATGCACTGGGACCCAACTGAGAGAGGAGGGAATTGGTCCCTCAGGAGAGGTGGGAGCTGGCGTCTGCCCCAGGAGCCACGGGTGGCCGTGGAGGGGCTGCAGATGAGGGGAATGGGCAGGAGGTTGTGGTCAGAGCTGAAACTCCGGCTTAGGAGGAGGGAGAAGGTTTAGAGGGGATTTTGAATTTGGGGGGAATTCCTCTAAGAGCCACCTTGGCAAAGGGATGTCATCGCTGAGCTCATACCGGTGCCGTCCGTTCCTGCGTGTGTCCCGGCAGGCTCTGGGGCTGGTCACCCCCAGGGCTGCTGGCACCGGTGGTGTGAGTCACACCTTCTGTGTCACCCTGAGATGGAGCATGGGGTCTCCTTCCCGTCCCCAAACGCCCGGGGACACTCCCCTGAAGGTCACCTGCCCACAGGATGGGAAAGGGAGCCGGGATCGTTTTTATCCAGTGGGAAATGCTGGAAAGGTCTCATTGAAGCTATTTCTTCCTCGCTTTCCAACTAAAAGCTCTCTGGCTTTTGTCTGTGCTGCAACTTCTGGTTGAGCTCCAGCAGCAAAGACTGAGCACCAAGAGGTATCTCCAGTGTCCGTGTGTTCTGCCAGTCCTCTGGCTGTGGCATGTGCACCCGCGTTAAACTTCTATGAGATCCCACAGAGATTTGGGGTTATTCTAAAGAGATTTTGGCAAGCCAGGCTCGGTCCGGCCCTGACGGAGATTTTCAGACCTTTGTTTTCCCCTCTAGTCCTGGCAAAATGGAAAAAAAAATCAGAAAAACAAAAGCTTTATAGTTTTCTGCTGAGCCTCTGGGAACAGTTTTGGGATGAAAGAGCTCAGAAATGGTTCCTGCCCTCCCAGCCTGGTCCTGACTGAGCGCTGGGGCCGTGGCATCGCTTCTCACCACGGGCTTTGCCGGCTCTGGGGCTCCCTGGCTCTGTGCTGTGCTCGAGTCCCCTCTGAACCCCCCTGCACCTCATGCCCGGTTTGTAAAAATCCTGGAGACAAATTGCTGACATTAAAGCCGCGCTGGGCAGAGGGGCTGCAGCCTCCCTGCTGCTCCCGCCGAGCCGGGGGGCTCATCCCACCAGCAGCGCCCAGCTCTGATCCCACCTTCTCCTTGTCTCCCTGCAGATTTTGACAGAGCTGAAGTCGGACAACCAAAGGCTGAAGGACGAGAACGGAGCCCTCATTCGTGTCATCAGCAAGCTCTCCAAATAGGAAGCCTGAGCAGAGGCAGGACAAAGAGGGGAGCCCTCCACAAGCTGCCAACCCCACCACCAAGCCCTACCCCGCTTTCCTCCTGTCAAGTACAGCAAGCGTTTCAGCCATGGGATCAATCTGTCACACCTGCCCTGCCCTGCCCTTTGCTGTACAGTCCCCTCCTGCCCTCATTTCCCTCACAACACACCCCCCCTGCCATTTTATTATTTTTAATTTAAGCATGTGTGGTGTCTCGGACATTTTGTTCAAGGGAGAAGAAAAACGTGAGGACTGGGTTTGAGCTGCCAAATCTACTTCTTCCAGAAGCCCAGTATTTGGTGTTGGACTCTGATCTAGAGTAGGAAGCTCCTACTTTAAAAAGCGATGCTTTAGGAACTAATCCAGCACATCCAGGCCCTTTCCAGGTGGAATGTGAACATGGGCTGGGACTCTAAGGATGGACATCCCACCCGAGATGTGGGACTCGGGTTAAAATGTGATGCTGTGAAAGCCACCGTGGCTGATTTCTGTAACAGGCTGACGACAGCTGCTTTGCACAGAGACCTCCTTCTCCTTTTGCCCCAGTAGACCGAGTCTTTTATTTAATACAAGATTTCGAACCTGTTCAGTAACATCAGCGCTGACTCTCAGCATCAGACCCCCTTGTCCCTCACCCTGCCTTTCGCCCGCAGCCGGGGGGATTTGGTGTCACCTTGTGTCCTTCTAAGGCTTCCGTCTCAGTTAGTAGCATCTGCTAATTGCATCTGGACCCTTGCTCCTCGGGACTGGCTGTATCACAGGTACTTGCCAAGCTTTCTGAAGGACAAGCTCGAGCCCCTCGAGAGCCCCTGCTGCTTTCTGATGCAGATGAGCGTGACTCACCTTGCAGGGAGCTGTGCCCACACAGAAACCAGCCTCCTGTCCTGACAGCCATCGGGGAGATTTTCCTGCTGCCTTCGTGAGGGCAGAGCCTCGTAGCGGGGTCTGGTCAGGTATTTCAGGTACCTTGCTTTGATTTGCAGCAGGAGGATGCCCAAGTGCAAGGCAGCAGGGCTTGGTTTGTAGAGAGAGGGGATGCCAGAACCCAATCCCACCTGGCTGTTGGTGAAGATGCTTGACACAGCTGGGGTTCAAGGCAGCGGAGCGTGAAGCCGTGATCACTTGTCCTCCCGTGTACCTTGGGAATCTGTGGGGGGACAAGGGGCTCCTCTTGGGCGTGCTGGTAACTGCATCGCTAGGATGAAAGTCTCTTAATCTGTCAAAAGCTTGCAATAAGCCTTGACCTTGAAGGAAACCTCAAAAAACCCCACCGTCTTTAATGTTATACGTACTCAGAACAGTTTGAAATTGTTCTCTCAATGGGCATTTATTCAGGGGCTCCCCTACGTGCTGTGTGGGTTTGATGGGAGCAGTGACCTGCCATCAGATCTGTTGAGCTTCCCCTTAACAGTCTCCTCTCGAATGATACTCTCCCTCTCAGAGACTTCTCGCTGCATCCAAACCCCTTTCCCATCTACATCCTTCCACAATTGTCCTTTCATTTCCTTTGTCCTTTGACTTCCCTGCTCCATCCGGCCGGCAGTTACGGTCTCAGTCACTGGACTTGGAGGTTGCCATGAAGTTCTACCTGCGTTCCCGGGCGCCTCTGCTGCCTGTGGGCTGGTGGCTGCTGCCAGGCTGGTTGGACTCTTCCCACTATGAGAGAGAGAGATGAGATACTTGAACGCGAGCATCATTCTTGAGCTTGCTCAACAGGGTAAAATTTATCTCTTATCAGTCAGTCCTGGGCTTTTTGGAACCTTTTGCTGGTGAGTGCTTCAGAAAGTGCGTTTCTTTTCCTCTCCCTTGGTTTTTTTAGTTTGGGGTTTGTTTGGTTTTTCCTAATTCTCCATTTTTTTCCCCTTCCCTTTCCTGTCCTGCCTGTTCCCACCTCTTAGAGCTGCCGGTTTGTCCCTGGGTGGCTCTAGACAGAGGTTCCTCTTCCACCACTCCTCAGCCAGCGGAGTTGCTCATGCCCGGCACGAGATGCTGTTTCTCCTGGTACACTGGGGCCCTTCCTCTGCTGCTGTGCTTTGGGGAGGAAGAGACCAAAGCTGGTAACGGCATCAGGGTTTCTGCAGAGCACTGCCTAACCCAGGCATCCTTTTTGTATTTCTTTGTTTTAACCCTGTTATATTTAACAGCTTTAAGTCTTGAGATCCAGTCAATGCTTTTTCTGCACGCCGTTCCCACCTGGTGCACTCTTTATGTGAGTACTTCTGCGGTTCTTGATGTTTTTTCTCTTGGTGACCCACTCCTCGCTTCAGACTTGGGCTCTCTCGGCTCCAAACAGGGGTCCGGTCCCCCCTGTGCCGTGTGGAGGAGAAGACCTTCTCCTGCTGGGGCTGCTGGTGGCTGCGCAGCGCTGCCAGGGTCTGTGTCCCGGGGTCTGTGAGATTTCAGAGCAAAGATCCAGTTCCTCTCTCGGGGCAGGTTCCTGGCAGCGGGAAGACGCCGGGTGTCTGTTTTAGGCAGAGGGTTCAACCCAACCTGACAAATCCATCCTGCCCTGACATTTTGCCCCTTCCTACCAGGACACTCATTGCGTTTTACCCTAAGGAACAGTTTGCAAAGGGTGCGGGAGGTTCAGCTCCTCTGCGCGGCACCTTGCAACGCCAAACCACTTTGGATGAAGTGTCTGCTTAGCACTGGATTGTCCCCAGCTCTGACCGGGGCAGAGAACCCACCAACAGTTCGGTCTCACCGACTGGCCAAAGCTGTGAGTGTTTCGTGGTGATGCTGCAATTGCAAACCGAAATCTTGGGAATTAATATTTTTTTTTAGTGTCACTTAATGCCTGACGTAACCGGTGCACTGAGGAGGTGACAGCAGGACACCTTGCGCTCTGTGCCTGGGACAGAGAGCAAACGAGCAGTTTTTAAAACTGATCCCTGTTTGAACCAGAGCATTTGCCAGACGTGGTCTCCATTGGAGAGCACAAGCTTTTTTTTTTTTTATAAGCAATTGCTTGGGTTGAATTCATTTTTAATGCTTGGGGTGAACCCACCGATCGTGGCTGCAAGTTTGATGATGGCTCTTTGTAAATAAACTCCTTGGAGAAGCAGGACTCGCTTACGAGATGGGGAGAGAATGTATTTTTATGCAACTTTTGAGTGGCCTTTCAAACCCTGAGATGAATGATTTGTTTTACTGGTTGTTGTTATATAGTATTATAAGTATTATGTGTTTGAAAGTTTGGGAATAATATTCACATCTATGATGCTTGTAAACACAACAGTATTTATAAATGAATAAAATAAGAGTTGATAAAATAGAAGTTTTGACTTTGCTTCCATCTTTCTGGAGCTTGGGAAGCTGCTGCCAGTTCTTTAGCCTAAAATGCCCCATTTCTCCCAAAACTTCTGTAGCAAAACAGTATCGTGTCTCTGAAGTCAGAAATGCTCTGCAGTTATAACATGGGGAGGGTAACGCTCCCCTGCATCCCGGGCAGGGAAAGCTGAAATGAAGGAGCCGTGGGTGCAGCTCCCTGAAAGCCACCCACCAGCTGGGGGTGATGGGGAGAAGGTCCCATCTGATGCCTCTGACCCACGGGGGGGCTCAGTCCCATCTCCCACCGTGAGGTTGAGCCCCGTGTTTGCTCTGCTCAGGAGCTCGGGCAGCACAAACCCATAGCAGAGACATGGGCACTGGGGCCACCTCTCGGAGCCTTTGTCCCAGGTGAGGTTTGTAGAACCTTCCGGGTATTTCGGTCTTCGGGGGTGGTTACTGCAGCTTGAGCTCTTCCCCTTGGGCTCAGGGGTGTCAGGTCCTCTGCAGAGCAGGGCAGGACCGGAACATTAACAGATGGACCCAGCCGTATGTGTTGGAGGTGAAGAATTTGTGGAGACCATTGATGTGTTCCCACCTGCACCCCACATCTGGGGCACCAGGGCCTGGAGATGTCACAGAATCACAGAATGCTATGGGGCTGGAAGGGACCTCTGGAGATCATCTCGTCCAACCCCCTGCCAGAGCAGGGCCACCCAGAGCAGGTCCCACAGGAACGTGTCCAGGCGGGGTTTGAATGTCTCCAGAGAAGGAGACTCCACCACCTCCTTGGGCAGCCTCTGCCAGGGCTCTGCCACCCTCAAAGTAAAGAAGTTCCTCCTCATGTTCAGGTGGAACTTCTTGTATTCAAGTTTGTGTCCATTTCCTCTTGTCCTGTCCCTGGGCACCACTGAAAAAAGACCAGCCCCATCCTCCTGACACCCTCCCTTTCAGTATTTATAGGTGTTGATCAGATCCCCCCTCAGCCTTCTCTTCTCCAGACTGAAAAGACCCAAGCCCTTCAGCCTCTCCTCCTAAGGGAGATGCTCCAAGCCCCTCATCATCTTTGTAGCCTCTGCTGTCCCCTCTCCAGCAGTTCCCTGTCCTTCTGGAACTGGGGAGCCCAGAACTGGTCCCAGTGCTCCAGATGGGGCCTCCCCAGGGCAGAGCAGAGGGGCAGGATGATCTCCCTCCACCTGCGAGTCACACTCTTCCTGATGCCCCCCAAGATGGCATTGGCTGCCTTGGCCACAAGGGCCCATTGCTGGCTCATGGTCATCCTGTTGTCCACCAGGACTCCCAGGTCTTTCTCCTCAGAGCTGCTCTCCAGCAGGTCAGCCCCAACCTGTCCTGGTGCAGGGGGTTATTCCTCCCCAGGTGCAGCACCCTACACTTGCTCTTCATGAAGTTCATCAGGTTCCTCTCTGCCCAACTCTCCAGCCTGTCCAGGTCTCTCTGGATGGTGGCACAGCCTTCTGGGGTGTCAGTTTGGTATCATCAGCAAACTTGCTGAGGGCACATTCCATCCCTTCATCCAGGTCACTGATGAATATATTGACGAGGACTGGACCCAGTACTGGCCCCTGGGGAACACCACTGGTTACAGACCTCCAACTGGATTCTGTGCCCCTAATCACATCCCCGCCGTGTGTGAGCACACTCGTGTCTTGGGGTTACCAAGGCCCTCCAGGGGTTCTCCCTGCGCCCCCCTCCCTACATCATCCCTGGGACCTGCCCGCCCCTCCCCGGACACCCCCCGAGCCCCCACAGCAAGACCAGAAGGGAAACAGGGCTCCTTTCTTTCAGCTCGTTTCTTTAATAAGGAGACAGATATCGTTACAAAATAACCATTTAACGAGAAGAGACAGAAACAACAGTCCACACGAGAGGAAGGGGCTTTAAAAGCAGCTTCCGCCGGAGCTGAGCGCTGCGGGGCCGGGACGGGCAGAGCTGGGCTGGGGTGGGGGGTCCTGGGCTCCGAGATACACCCCCGAGCCTGGGGCTCCCCAAGGAGCTGCTCCTCCCTCCCAGGTCTTGGGGGGAAAAAGGAAAAGAAAGCAGAGCTTGTTGCCAGGCCTGGTGGATTCATTTCCTTTAACCCCGGGGAACGGAAGCCAAGCGTCCCCGTGGCACGGCCGGGTTTGCTGGGAGCGGGAAATGCCCAAAAGCAGAATTTTCTCATCCCCAAAACAGAAACCACCCAACTGGACACGGCAGAAATAGCCCAAATCGCTCTGAAAAGCCTTTTCACCACCAGATCTTCGCCGCATCCCAGCCTTTCCGTTGCAGAAATGCCACCAGCAGGTCGGCCCTGGCGCCTGTGCCCAGCTCTGCCCTGTCCCCTCACCCAGCAGGATGGTGGCTTCCGTGGCCACTGAGGCAGTGGCCGCTGTGGCTCGTCCTGGCAGCCGGGCTCTACCGCTGAGCCCCACGAAGCCAGGGGACGGTGGACACACGGGGGAAGGGGGTCACGGCTCACCTGTGGGCCTGTCCCCATGGGGTCCCGGCACACCGTGGTCTAATATGGCTTCTAAAGTTGCTCTGACGGTGAAATGCACCAACGCGACACAGGACGCCGAAGCCACGACGTTGCCGCTACCGGGCCATGGTTTAAATGCGACAAGATACAGGAACAAGACACACACATGGAAGTCACGGCTGCGTCAGTGACGGCTCACCCTCCACTGGTGGGACTGGCTTGGCATGCTTTGCTTCTTGGCATTATTTTCTTCTTTTACATTATTTTAATTTTTTTTTATTTTATTTATGTATTTGTGGGAAAATAGGGTGGTGGAGAGCACTGGGGAGATGAGTTTCCTTTGTCGACGTCTCTGCCTCGCTGGAGAAACGTGGTGGGGACGGCGGCGGCGAGCGGAGGGGCAGAGCGTGGCTCTAACCATGCTGCTAGGGCTACGGGCTGCGGCTCATGCACTGCTCATGGTATATACAGCTACGTCTCCATACAGTGTTAACTACACACGGCTAAGGGGGGGTCAGAGGCAGCGCAGATGGCTTTAATATGTTGGTTAGTTTTCCCTTTTTCATTAAAAAAAAAAAAATTAATTATGTATTAAAGTCACAGTTTCCCCCCCCTTTGCAAGGCTTAAAAAGTCCAACAGAACCAGCTGGGGGGGACCCCTGCTCCTGGTGTGAGGCCCCGGGCGATGCGGTGGGTCTGGGGGTGCAGGGGGGTGTTGTGGAATGCACGGGGGGGTACATGGGGGTGCATGTGTGCAGGCGTCGGGCACACCTCCAACACCCAGGGAGAGCTGTGGGGCCACGCACACTCACAGGGCTCTAACAGGTTTTTAGGGCTCTTTCCAATTCCTTCGTTTTTAACCCATTCCCACACAAGGCAAATGCCCCCCCCCCCCCAGGCCCGGGCGGGGCCCCAAAGTAACCTGGGAA